CCTCGGCATCCGCCGGGAAGAAACGTTGTGCGAGGAGGGCGGTGGGACGCGTTCCCAGGGAAGCGGGGGATGCCCCGTCGTTGGAAGTGGTCACGGTCAGGTTGGACGGGGCTTTGAGCAACCCAGTCTAGTGGAAGATGGCCCTGCCATCAGCGCATGGGTTGGGCTGGATGATCTTTGAAGGTCCCTTCCAACCCAAACCATCCTGCGATTCTATGACCCGAGACCCCAGTGCTGCCCCAAGGCTCTCGCTGCCAGCCCCCCTGCCCCGTGGAGCAAGAACGCCTCCCCCAGTCCCCTGACAGCCAGATAGTCCCACATCTGCATGGGGAACAACCTCCTTGCTTGGTGGGTTATCACATAACCACACCTGAATGTCTCCATCGAGCACCGAGTCTGGTGACTGTCCGCCTCATTCCCTTGCCAGATCCACGATCCTGCAGGAGAGCAAGTCCCTGCTGAAGAGCCAGACCGCGTCGGACCAGGCGGTGGCAGAAGCCCTGTGTGCCATCATGCTCCTGGAGGACAGCTCTCCACGCCAGGCCCTTGCCGACTTCCTCCTGGCCAGGAAGCTGGCCATTCAGCAGCTGCTCAACCAGCCGCACCACGGTCAGTACGATGGGCTGCCTGCTTTTTAAAGTCAGGGTACCCCCTTTGCCTCATCTCTCTTGCCCTGCAGAAGAGCAGCTGAGCAAGTCCCATAAAGCTCACGATGGTGGGGACGCGACCACATCGCGCTACCACTGGTAGTGATTTGCCACAGCAGCAAAACACCACAAAAATTAACAGTGCCTGGGGTCTTAAGCCAAGCCCATCTATAATGGGGCAGCAGGAGGTGCCTGGGGCCAAGTCCTTTGCCCTCCAGCCTTTCCCCGGAAGGTTTTGCTAGAACTGAAGGCCTTGAAACACAGGGCTGCCTCGGCTGAAAGACATTTCTCCGCAGGTGCAGGTATAAAAGCTCAGGTGTGCTCACTGATGGAGCTGCTAACCACTACCCTGTACCAGGCTCATGCTCTCTTCTACACCGTGCCTGAGGGGATGCCACCAGATCCAGCCCTGCCCTGTGGCTTGCTCTTCTCGACCCTGGAGAGCACCACAGGCCAGCACCCAGCAGGTGAGTTGCCCAGGTGGCTCCGCGTTGGGCCTCCGCTTGCCCAGGTTTGCAGGCAGGAGACCGCCCCTGTCCTGGGCTGATTTCCCCCCAACCCCATGTGCTTCTAGGGAGAGGTGGTGTTCTGGAGGATGGGATGAAGCTGAGCAGCTGGTTCAGGTACCTCCCGGAGTCCGTGGTGGAGTTCCAGCCGGCCCTGCGGACCCTGGCACACCCCATCAGCCAGGACTACCTCAGAGACACGCTGCAGAAGTGGATCGCCATGTGAGTGTGACAGCGCCGCCCTTCGCAGGGCTCTCCCAGACACCACACGGCCTCCAGGCCAAGGCAGTGACACAAAGCAAACCCAAGCTCGCCTACTTCCTCGCTCAGTCCAGCCAGGCTGCACCTTCTGCCGGCTTCTTGCCCAGCATCCCCTCTCCCCAGCAGTAGAACGGCCAGAGGCAGCCTAGCACCCCCTGACCAGCCAGGCTGTAACGCTCTCACGTAACAGACCACCGGGCTGCACAAAGATATTTGTCTAGAGCTGCTTTACGCTGCCCTAACCGCCAGCAAACAAGCACAGAGTAAATGAGAAGAAAAATCCCTTACCTGGCTCATTTGGCTCCTGATCCAGCACCTCTTTCCTCCTCGCTGCCCTTCCCCGGACTGCGTGGGGGCAGCCAGCCCTGCTTTATAGCATTACCAGCTCCGCCCCTTCCCACCTTGCCTTGCCCTGTGGATGGGGACAGCCTGGCAGCCCTGCCTGCCCCCTAACAGCCTTGTCAGTCCTCTGTCGTTATCCGATGGAGCCAGCTGGTCTTTGCCATCAGCTGTGGCCCCCATGATGTGCTCGCTGGCCCTGGGGTGTTACCCCAG